TGTCTTATAATAAACGTCCTTTTACTAAGTAGTATACTTATATACTTCCTTATAATAGTAGCTTATCTAGCTATTTAAGTATATAAGATTATATAAGATTATATAAGTTAAGATTATTTAGTGTTATTATATATTTAGTTTTATATATAAGCCTATTAGGTATAGCTATAATAGCCTTACTTCTTACTATACGTAGCTATATAGTTACTTACTAGGATATCCTAGTAATTACTATAGCTATAGTAACCTCTTAGTAAGCAGTAAGCTTATCCTTAGTTAAGGCGTATAGATATTACGTTATAAGCAGCTTTATTAGTTTTTTTAAATATATCTTAAGGATTAATTAGTCTGCTGCTATAACCTCTAGGTTAATATACTCCTAGAGATTATAACGCTTTACTTTTACTTAGATAGTGTTAAGCTATATAAACTAATTACTATATAATTATAAGATAGTTACCTTATTATTATAGTTCTTATTAATTATTATAATAGTATTTAATTAGTAAATAGGTATATTAGTTATTATAGATATATATATTAGACTATTAATTATTAAATAGTAGGGATTATAATAGTTATGTAATTAATTCTATTATATATTATATATTTATAGTAAATTACTATAGAAATAAGGAAAACCCCCTATTTCTTAGTTAGGAAATCCCCTGCTAATCCTAGCGATATTATTAGTAGAATTACCACTAGAAGTGGGGCTAATTCACCGCCCATTCCCTAACAATTCGCCGTAGGGCAACCGTGCATTCGCCGGTTAATTCACGTGTAATTCCGCCACATTTGACATTACTACTAATTACGCGCTTTAACCCTATTAGCTAGGGTTGCTCTAGGCGGGTAGGCATAGTCTTTTAGAACGCACCTCTATACTCTGACCTCTGTACTCTGTATAGTAACATCCTATAGCAATCCTAGCCATATGATTAGTGAAATCACCTGTAAAGTGGGCCTATTTCACCGCCTATTCCCTGACGATTCGCTGTTGACACCTCTTTGTCCTGTTGGAACTGTCAAAGTGGGCGAAATGTCCGCGTGCGCCCGGGCGCAAGGTGGGGCAATTGGCTTCCAATGCGCCAGTCATTTCTCGGATGGATTTCTCTACCTAAAACATAGGAAAATATTGATCCGTGCAATTGCCCCTTGGAAAGGGCCGATCGGCGATGGCCGCGTAACATAGAGATACACACACAGAACAGAGCAATTAATCAATGCAAGGATATCGCTGCTAATTACGCGCTTTAATAGGTATAAAGCCAGCTGGGTGGGGCTATTGTCGCCTGTAACTTGTTAAGTTGTAACAACTAAGTAGTTTCTCAATAGTATTTTTACGTGCAGCTAACCTACTACGTATGATGGGTAAGTACAAACTCCCTAGCAGGTAGTGTGGAGTTGTCACTGGCTAGAATTATGATACCTAGATGTGCACAAGAAGCTGAAAGTACTCCGTACCGTTGCTGGGATACTCAAAAAAGCACAGCCACATTTACCTAACGAGGGGGTTAAGCTTTAGCCTAATACCGTAGTAGAACACACCCACTGTTTTTAAGGTGGATGGCTTGCTATAATTAGCAGCTTGCTATACATATATGTTAATTTAACTTTCTCTTTTTATTAACTATTTCTAAAATCATACTTTTGAACTTTCTAATTAGCTAGTCTTTATAAAGTAATACTATACGTATTGCTTGTATAGACAGAGCTAATAATACGTAAGTTGACAGTGTTTTAATTACTGTGTCTACTAGGTAAATTCGGCTTACAAACAGACCTTATATGATGGTATCGGTTACCAGGCATAGAGGGGCCGTGGGGCCCCCACAGCCCACGGGCCACTGCGCCGCAACCAACAACTAATTATATTAAAATGATAGATATATTCGGATATTCTGATTGGCCAATTAAGTAGATGTGGGTCCACCACATTTCCTCGTTTTTTCAGGGTCAATCCAACCACCCACCCATCCACGAGCAACAACAACAACCCATCGCCGCCAACCCATCGCAACCCATCGCCGCCAACCCATCGCCAATTAACCCTTCGCCCTATTATCATTGTTTTTTTCACGTCACTATAGTTACAGACCTCCCTCAATTGACTGCCAGCGAGGCTAACGCAATTAACGCGCTATATAACGAATATACGAGCCTATAACTGCTGTTACCGCCTAACTATAAGGAGGATATAGTTAACTTTAACCTAGAGGACTTCTAGAAGGAGCTTAACAGTAAGAATATTCTTTTTACTAGCTTACCTACCTATCTAACTATTTACTCTATTAGGACTTACCTTACGCGTCCCTAAGACCTAGGCTGGCCTTATTATAATACCTAACGACCTTACTGCCTGCTATAAGTAATACTTTTACCTTACTAAGCCTATAAAGGTTAGTAGTACTAAATTTAAATAAATATAAGCTTTTATTAGTAATTTCTTTAATACTACTAGTGCTTAAGGCTATACCTCTAGTAGCACTACTACTACCTACTATTACTACTTACTTTAGTTAACTAAAGCTAATAGGCCTTAAGGTAGTAAGGTAACTATAACCTATAACTATACTATATAGGTAGGCACTAGTTACCTTATATGCACTAAAGTTATAAAGTAATAAGTAGGTAACTTTATTATAATAGTAGTTATTTTACTAGTTAACTAAGACCCCTATAACTACTTACTTAAACGCCTTAATTAAATACGCCTACTATAAGGTATTAAAGACCTTACTACTAAGTAAGTTACCCTTAGTTATTTAGCTACTAAAGTCTACTACGTACTTTAAGGCCACTTTAGCTACTATAAGGCTGTTAAGCAGGCGCTAATAACTATAGGTAGCTGTTAGCTTTCTTACTAGGCTATACGTAATATAGGCTGCTACTAGCTTACTACCTACTTTAATCTTTACCTTATTAGCTATAGCTATTTATAATACTTATAAGTTACTAAAGTAAAGGCTTATTATTATACTTATAACCTTTAATTTTAGTATTATATAGTCTAACGTACTAATAAGGTAAGTAAGGGGCTTATATAAGTATTTAAGGCTAGCCTTATATTACTATAGTAATATAGCCTTTTTACTATAATAGATACTACTTACTAGACTAACTAGCTTAGCTAGCTACTTTATACTATTATAGTTAGAAATACTATAGGTAGCTAAATACTAGTTAGCTACTTTCTTACTAAAAAAGGTAATACTAATATTATTACTACTTACTTATATATATTAAAAGGCTAGGCTAAGTAGTAGTTATATTACTTTCTTACTAATAATTTAGCTATTAAATAACGCACTATACGTAGTGCCTTTTATAGCCTTAAGGATAGTAAGATAGAAGTATTACACTTTTTTTACTATATCTACTATAAACAGACCCTTTACTATTATCTTATAAAACACCTATATAGCTTACGCTATATAATCTCTATATTAAAATACTACTATATAAGGCTAGGTTATTATAAATTTATTACTACTATAATAAAAAGTCTAACACCTAAGTTATCTACTTATATTAAAAAGAACTAGCTACTAACACTTAACCTCTAGGCTAACTATACTTATAACTATTTACTACTACTACTTTAGGCTAAAATAAGTAACTTACTTAAAGGCCTTTATAGCGTTATTAAGTGTAGCTACTATTATATGCTTTAGTAATTTAGCCTTTAAGGCACTATTAAGTATATTAACTATATTAATAATAAATATTTTACTACTACTAAGCTACGCCTTACTAACTTTTATAGTAAAGTCCTCTATAAGTAATAGGTCTTACTTTATCTTTCTTACCTGCTTATACCTATATAAAAGTTAATTACTAGTAAACTTTATAAGGTAGAGGTAGCTACTACTAATAGTTTAGATTTACGCTATAATATATAGGTAGGTAATAATAGGCCTATATACTACTATAGCTTCTATAAGCAGTAAGTATTACCTTATTAATATATCCTCTAATAGGCTATAACTAAGGATAACTTTATAGGCACCTACTAGTAGTAATAGATATAAGGCTAGGGTAAGGCTAGGTATAAAATATATAAGGCTTATAAGTTATACTATATACTATATATAGCTAACTATAAGAGTATTCCTATACCCTCTAGGCTTACTATATATAGTTATATAGAGGTATTATTAAATTAGTACTATTAACAGGAGGAGGCCTATTATAATAAGCAACCTAATTACCTTATGTAGTATGTAATATAAGTAGAGGAGGCTGTTACCTAGCTAAGTAGTTATATAGTTAACGCCTAGCAGTAAGGTAATTAAGTTAGCTATAGTAGTTAATTTATACTTTTTAATATTACAGTTAGCTACTTAGTAAAAATAAGAATACTAACCTTACTGTTAATAAAGGGATAAAGAGTAGTAATATAAAGGAGGGAAGAAATAACAGGCGACGTAACAGGTAGGTAATATGCTTATATATAGGCACAGATGTGGCCACATCCGTGCTGGCCCCCCTGGGTATGCCCCTCATACTGCCATATTGGGTTTAATGCTGACTTCAGGAGAAATAGGTGGCCGCCAGGGCGAAAGTCCCTTGAGTACGCATGCGCACAGATCCCGCCCCACGGCCCCTCTATGCCTAGTAACCAATACCTATATAATCTCCTACTTTTAGGTTATAGAAGGTCTGTTTATACTTACTAGGATATAAGTAACTTAAGCCTAATAATATAGCATCTCTAGAGTAGGTCAAATATACCAGATGTATGCTTTTTTAGTATTTCCTTTATATTAAATTATTTAAAGACATACTATAAATCCTTATGCTATATAAAAGTAGAAAATCACATAATAGAAATAAGTATATAAGATAGATCTAACGCTACTACAGACCTAACCTAACTATCACTCACTTAATTCAAGGCAATCTTACTACATCATTTTTCTCCTCGACTCTGTTTAGCGCTTTTCATCACCTTCATCATGAGACTCTCTATTCTTTCTACTCTAGCTTTGCTCTTTATGATGGCAACAGCTGACGAGTGCACGTAAGTCTATTTATCATGTAGAGCTTACTATAAAACTTACATATAGTAGCTGCAATGATGCGAGAGAGACCAAGCGCGCTTGCAGACAGGCTGGCGGTACTATGAGCGGCAGTACTTGTCATACAGAGAGGGCTTCGGATTTCCTTAACAAGGTAAGTATAGAAATTATGTATAATTTAACAGATACTAATAGTTTTACTTAGTGCAGTGGTATCTGTTACAGCTAGATACTGCACTATTATATTTAGTGTAGAATTATTCTATTTTGCAAAAAGATAGAGTAAAGCTATTAAATCTACTAATAACCAGATAGATGCTGTGATCAGGATGAGGAGTTCGGCTAGCAGTCATGGTCACGTGATAACCTACTTAAAGGTTATAAGCAGTGACAATTAGACACATAAGGCAAGAAGGATTAGCACACTATCATCATTAGCATCACTATAGTTAATACACAGTCGTTACTATATATTATTTGTCCTAAGGTATATATGTCAAATATGCAAAAGAAGTGGAGCTCCTGCTGGCTGTTGCACATCTGTGAGAATTCAGGCCATATATACCACTTTTGACACACCCCCCCAGCTTTCACAGAAGGTGCTAATTTCTGTTAGAGCTGGTTTGTAATCCAGAGGGCGGCCAAGTAATGTACGCCTATAGTAGGGGCAGGGTTAGGTCTGACGCAAAGGAATACCCTGTTGCTGCCTTCTGCTGCCTACATGGGAAATCGAATACGGGTCTTCTAGAAATCCTGTATGCGGTAGGTTGGGTTACGTGAGATACACGTAGTGCTACTAAGCGAATAAGACTCTTAATTATTAAATATGTAAAAGAAGTAGAGCTCCTGCTAGCTGTTATATATCTATAAGAATTTAGGCTATATATACTACTTTTAATAATATAAGTGTTACTTACTACCTTTATAACTAATAGTATTGTTTATACGTAATAGTTATAGGCCTAGCTCTACTTACTATACCTAAATAATATATGTTATGTTAGGGCTTTACTTAAAGTAACCTTATTAACTAACTTTATTTACTAACCTATTAACTTTATAAATAGCTTTATATTAACTAACTAACTTTAAGGCTAAAGGTAGGTTAGTTAATTAACTTATATAGCGTTAGTTATTATTATTATATTATTTAACGCTAGGGACGTTCTTAAATAAGATAAAAGGCGCCTAGAGAAGCCGGCTTCTAATACAAACGCTAAGCACATAATATTAACTAAACTATAGTTTTTACTAGCCTATTATATACATCTTTAGTTAACTATATCTAGGAGTTTTAAACTTATAGTATTGTTGTTACTATTAAGGGTATAAATAGCCTTTTAGTAGCTAGGTTCTTCTTATACGCCCTATCTATTTATAGTTTCTTAACCTTAGCTAGAAAGAGGTTCTTATATATTCTTCTATATAGTGCTTTTTATATATTCTTATACATAGGGATCTATTATTACTATCTATAGGCTATAGTAAAAAGGGAGAAAGGAAAGAGGCAGGGAAGTAAAAAAAGAGAAGGAGAAGGGGGAAGTATAAGTGTTTTTATAACACACTAGATACTACTGTCTAGCCCTATAGGTCAGGAGGTACTATAAGGAGAGTAAAAAGTAACCTATTTAAGATAGCGTTATACCTTTTATAGCCTACTTTACTTCCTAATAGAGGTTTATAATAGTATAGGTTTATTTTATACTATATATCTAAAGACTTTATAGCTATTATAAAAAGTTATAGTAATAGACTTAATATATATAATAAGTAAGTTAATTAGATAAGTAAAGTAATTAGCCTACTATAAGTATAGTCTTTTCTTCTTTTTACTATATATCTAACTACTAAAAATAATATATTTACTAAATAATAAAGCCTAATTACTCTTAGCTATTAAAGCTATCTAAGGACCTTATAAAACTAATATTTAGGCTATATTATATATCTATTTAGTATCTTTTTTTATATTATATAACTATCCTAATAAAAAACCTTTATAATATAACACTATAGCTAACTTATAGAATTTAATAAAACTTAAAGAGAGGAAGCTAGTTAAGTTTATTTTTAATTTAGATTCTTAATTATTTCTTTTCTAGCTTAGTAGTATTAAAATAAAAGCTAATTAACTACTTATTAACTATAATATACTACTAGTTAGTAAGCAGTAAGCCTTAATATTATAGCTAGAGGGGTTATATAAGGGATATATAGATAAGAATAAGGTTATAGCGTAGTTTAGTAGCTAGTATACACTACGCCTTAGTAGTAAGTGCGCTATAGCTATAGTAGTTAGTATACTACGCCTTAGTAGTAAGTACGCTATAGCTATAGTAGTTAGTACACTACGCCTTAGTAGCTAAGGCCCTAAGCCTTAGTAGTTAGTGCACTTATACCCTAGTAGCTAGTAAACCTTATAGTACTAAAGGACCTACTAAAAGGTAGGGAATAAGAACCCTTAGTTATAAGAACTATTAGGTAACTTATAAATAGAATTAATAGCTATATAATAGCTAGTAGGACTACTAGCCCCCTAAGGTAGATTTTTTTCCTCTTTACTTTTAAATTCTTATAATAAGAAATATAGTTATATATCTAACTAATATAGTATAACTACTATAATACTATTTAAAGGTTACTTTTACTTTCTCTATAAATAAAAGTATAATATCTTAAACTTTTTTTTTTTTCTAGACCTTAGCCTAGCCTCTCCCTCTTATTTTCTCTATTTTAGGCTTAGTTATATATTAGCTAAAACTACCTCTAAACTCCTCTACACTTTCCCCTTATTACTAAGATAGCCTAATCTACTAGTAGAGGTAGCCCTTTAGTATTTAACACTAAATTAATAACCTCTACTTAAAACCTTACTTCTAATTAATAAAGCACCCTCTTTTTTAATAATAAAGCTAAAGACCTATAGGAATTTAACTTTATACTTTACCTCTAAGAATTAAGCCTTAAATAACTCCTTACTAATACTAACTAAACTACTTATAGTTAATACTTATAGCGCTATATTAATAGCCTACTTATACTTATTTAAGTTACTAACTATTCCTTATTTAGTAATAAGAAAAAGAGAGAGTTTACTAAGGAAGTGTTTAAGGCCTTATATAAAGAAAATCTAGCTAATCTATATAGTTAGGTATACTACTAACTTACCTTATATTATACTTAGTAAAGCTTAAAGCTTAAATTAAGCTTTATTATAGGCTACTATACTAATAACTTTAAATAACTTTATATTTATATATAAGACGTCCTTATAGTTTAAAAAAAGTAAAAAAATATAGTTAACGCCTTAAAGTAAGAGCTTTATAAAGCCTATACTACTAATTTTACTTTAATAAATTAAATTAAGGTTTTTAAGAATTATAACACCTTTAGTAAGACTAGTAGCTTTATAAATAAGGTGCTTAAATAATAAATTACTTACCTAAAAACTTAGTTCTTATAAAAAAACTTTTTTACCTTCTTATTAGCTAGTAAGAATACTTACTATTATAAAAGTAAAGCTAAACTACTAAAGATTTTTATTTTTATTAAGATTAAAAATAGTAAAAATAAAAAAAATCTAAAGTTTAACTATTAGATACTATATATTACTTATTACCTAAAGAATTACCTTTAGTAAAGTTAGGACTATTACTTTAAGTATATTTATAGCTATATTAGTAAAGACGCTATAAACCTAGTGTTTCCTTTAATTAGTAAAGTAAACCTTACTATTACTACTACTAAAGATATTATTATAGAACTTATATTTATATACACTAGCCTTACTAAAGTAGATAAGGCTAAAAGTAAACTTAATGCCCTTATAGTGTTTTTTAAGAATATTTACTAAAAGAGATCTAAATTTACTAAATACGCCTAGGTCTTTAGTCTCTCCTAGTTATAATAAAAGTAATACTTCTATAATAAACTTCTTATTACTTTTTATAATAACTTTATCTAATAGTATATAGACGCCTAGATTAATTTTTAGTAGTATACTAAATATATTATTAAGATTACTTATACTATAAAGCCTCTAGCTACTACTACTACTAACTAGTTTAGTAAGGCCTATAGGTCTACTACTAGTTATACTACTAACACTTTAGTATTACCTAGTACTTTAAACGCTACTAAGTTTACCTTTACTAGTAAATAAACTAATAACTAAGATAAGATTTTTACTACTTTATACTAACGCCTTTATAATTCTAATACTTACTTTACATATAAAGCTACTAACTATATAGCCTATAACTACCTTTATAAGCCTAAGACCTCTATTAATAAGATTAACCTATAGTAATATATAGAAGACGTTACTAAGGCTAAAGATAAAAAGGAGCTAAAAAATTAGGTTCCTTAGTAAATTCTAACTCCTTACTAAGAACTAATATAAAAAGATAATTTAAGGTTATCTATACGTTTAATTAATTTATAAAATCTTATTAGGGGTAACCTTCTAGAGATAAAGTTAACTATAGCTTTAAATAGATATAGTATTTAACTTTAAGTGCTTCTTAATATAGAAGTAAATAGCTATACCTTTATAAGTAACTAAGTAACCTTTTTACTAAAAAAATTCTATAATACCCCTTACTAAACTTTACTTAAACTAATACTAGCTATAGAGTTTAATAGAGAATAATTAGATAACGTTTAGTACGCTTAGACTATAAACCTATATATTAATTATTAAGTAATTTAATAAACCTTACTATTATAACTTAATACTAGTTACTATAATTTAATCCTTAGTTATATTTAGTTTACTTACTATAAGGTAAACCTAGACGTATACTATAAGTAGCTAGTCTAGCTAGCTAAGTCCTTATAATAGCCTTATCCTCTAATAATTATTAGAGAGATAAAGGACTTATATACCCCTAAGACTATTAACGTTTAGCACTAGATTAATACTAAATATTAATAAGAGGTCTTTAAGGTTAACTACTAGTAATACTAGTAGAAAATAAAAAAGTAAAGACCTTAATAAATTCTTTAATATACTTATAAAGAAGATTTAAAAAAGAACCTTTATAAGATAAGTAAGGCGCTTAATAGTTCTCCTCTACCTATATATACTACTAAATAGCCCTACTATAAGGCTAGGTTTATATAGTTAGTAACACTATAAAAGTATAACTATTTTATATTTATTAATATAGTATCTTTTAAGATAAATCTAAAGAGATAAGATATTAAGCTTAGTTTTATCTCCCTTTATAAGCTAGATTAGATAATTACCTAAAAGAAAAAGAAGCTAGCTAATAACCCCCCATAAGCTAATGGCTAAGCTATATATAATTTAGTTAAAACTAACCTCCAAATCTCACTTTATAC